TAGAATAAAATAATAACAGAGTAATAAAATTTGAAGTTTAGAAAGTCGAAGATTCCGCCAAAAATCTGAAATATCAAATGCATGTGTTCAATGGTGAATGGCCAATTTCATTTGTGACATATGCATGAATGTAATTATTTAACACCTTAAGTTTAAATAAAACATTCTTAAATGAATGTAAATAAGACAATTCTCATTATACATTAGCATACATAATACATTATGAAATTACAATAAATTCACAGATCATTATTTAAAATGTAATTAAAATCATAAATTAATTGATAAATATACAAATGATTTACCTCATTAATTTGCCCTTTCAACATTTTTATTCACTCAGATAAGAAAATGAACAAAGCTGCCTAAATAAACAACAAATTCGTACTATAAATTATAACTGTTTTTCAGCAAGAAAATCTTGTTTTATATAAATTATAACTATACAACAACATATTTTATTATAACTAAAGATTTTATTTTTAAATTCTTTCGTAAAAATTTTAAATTCTTTCTAAAATTTTTAAATTCTTTCGCAAATGTTAAAATAATTAAATGAATGGGGAAAAAATTCTTGTTTCACAAAAATATGCACACTTTATAATGAAAAATAAAATATTTATGTAAAAAAAAAGAAAACACGGAAAACCAATAGTTTTAAACATCACATGAATCACTGATCTGAACATAATATAAATATTTGTCGATTACAAAAAAAAAGAAAAAGAAACTTTTTTTTAATGATTGATCAGCGATTTTATGAAGTTATGATGATGAACCCTGAATCCCTCAAAAACTTCTGATTTTTCCAAAAACATGTAATTATAATTTTAATATTATTAAAAGAATTTTGGCTTAAAAAATTAAGCAGCTCCGTATTTTACACCAATTATTTCGTATAATCTGAATTTCACTTTGCTTCAAAAATCAGAAAAAATAATTATTCAAAATTTAGAGTTGAAGTTGTAAAACAGAAATATCCAAAAATTAAAAGTTTGATAAAAACTTACTTCTGAGTATCTGGAGAGCATTTCTTATACTATTTTCTCTGATGTTTCTATATCGCCATCTCCACAGCCTGGAATAAACATCAATATTGAATTTTATATTTTCAAAATACATTGCGTAAATTTTGTTCTAAAATAAAATCTGAAAGTATAAAACCAGGGTTGGCAAGTTTTTGACACATGACGGTTTTTACCGGTTTATACCATGGTTTTTACCGTCATGTCAAAAACGTCAGAAACTGTCAAAAACCCATAGTTTTGATAAAACTGTATTTTAATTTGAGTTTAACTGCTTATGATTTAAAATTAATTCATTTTTGGGCAATTAAATTAGAAAAAAAGTTGTTGTTTAAAGATATTTAAGAACAGATTTTTGCATTTTCCCAACATGATTATATCAAATCATACTATTTGAAGTAAAATATTAGGATACTAAACAAAATTTTCAGCATTTCCAAGCATTATTTTGTTTGGCATATTACATTACTGAAGAATGTCAAGTCATTCCTGACTTAGAGTTTGTTAGTAGTTACAAGTTTTGAAAGTTTTGTTTAGCTTAGAATATTTAAGAATTATTACAATATTTAAGAAATGCCAAATTTTAAATTCTTCTTAATTCTTGAATTTATTAACAGTTCCAAGTTTTTTTGTTTGTTTATTTCTAACAATTAATAAGTGCAAAATTTGGAATCTTTTGCAAATCAAGCTATAATGATAAAAGTTAAGTATCACTATTTTCAATAAGTATGTTACAATATTTCTGTATGAATGTATATCCTTCTATAAGAATACGTGTATATAGTTGCAAAATCAATAGCAATCATTTACAACATTCATTTATAAAGACAATTTAGTGAAAATAATATATTGTCCTCTATATGCCATAAATTAAAGAAAACAGTAGGTTTTTGCCGGTAAAAACGCGGTTTTTACCACTGTCACGTCAAAAACCAGTTTTTGACGGCAAAAACCCAACCCTGTATAAAACATTCAAAATAAAAACCTTACATATGGTTATATAAATGAATTCAAACATGTTTTAAGGAAATTACAACTTTTTAAAAAAAATGTCAAATTTAAAAATTATATAGTACTATAACCAAAAGATTTTTTTTTACGATTTAGAGTTGCATTTGTCATAATAAAGAAATCTGAAATTTAAAATATACATAGTTAAACATGTTAGTATAAAAAATGTGATACATTTTAAAATGCATGTAAATATGTTTAATATAGAGAATGGCCAAAAATAATGCTTCCTAAACTGAAAATTACATAAAAAGAGCTATAGAGTTAAAGTCAGTTAATATTACAAGCTATATTAATGTTATTCTTATATGGAATGTCACTCTTTGCGAAATTTTGATAAGAGAAAAATTTGAATTTCTAGGAGACTAAAATAGAAACATAAATTGAGTTAAAAAGGTGAAGCCCTCATAATCATAATTCAGGGTGGCCACTCAAATTAGGTTTCAAATTCCCCTGATTTTTCCAGGTTTTCCAGTAAAAATCTAACAATTTCCGGGTCAGCGTGTTTTTTTTTCTCCTGGAGTGTAGTATAGGTACAAGAAAAGTGTCAATATTAGTCAATATAATAGTGTAGAATTTCATTTAAAATGTTATTTTTTAAATATATCAGCTTGAATAGATGTGAAGGAAACAATATGTCTAGCTTGCAGAAAATAACGCTTTTAATGAATAAAAAATTTTTTAAGTGTTGGATAGTTTTTGCATAAAATGTTCCAAATAGCAATGACCCAAAGCAACCTTGGATAAGTACTGTTTAATACATTTTTATTAAGCAAAAGAAAATAATTCCAGGTGATTAGAAACCAATAAATTTTTACATTTATTTACTTTCAATATAGAGCCATTTTTTACTTAATTTTATCCAGACCAAGCTCTTTATAAAATTCACTGAAATAATTTTCTTTAAACCAATATCATAAGTCAAATGTTTAAATAAAATTGATTATTTCAAATTAGAATTATTATTTTAAGACATATTCCTCATTTGTAAAGGAAAAATTGTCAATTTCTTTTTGTATATTCTATAGAAAAAAAAACAAGATAAAATTCTTTAAATTTTATTCTTTTTTCTTTCTTTCTTAATGGAAATTAGAATATATTAAAAATTCCAATCTGACATGGTTTCCTAGTTCAGATGAGTTTTGTTTTTACATCTGGTCAATTCCATGGTGTCAGAAAAAAATGTACATAAATTTCTTAGAAAAACTATCCTATAAAACAAAAGTTTATAATCAAACTTTTACATTAAATATTTAGTATATCATAACTTATCGAAAAACAATTTGTTTTATAAAAACCGATTATCATAAGTTCAAATTAAATGGATTAAATTGTTGCTGTCAGAGGTGAATCGCGCAAAAGCAAAAATGATTACTAATTTGCAAATTGTCTAAACTCTGAATTTAATTGTAATTTATATGTAAACTTGTCTGAATTTTGAAGCTGACATTTGAATAAAAAATTCTATGCAGTTGTTTGTGAAATAGGATACATAATTAATTTGAAATTTTTTACTTCTGTGCCAGAGGTAAATTATTCAAATTGGATAGAAATTTAAGTCAATGCTAACCATTATAATGACTGAAAATTATTTTAATTTTAATCTTAATGCTACAAATATTATTTTTTAATTAAATAGCTTCTTTAAATTTAAATTGTCTTCTATTTCCTGTTGGAATGGTCAGATTAATATGTTTCATAACATTTTCCACCCTATAAAAGTTAGTTGAAAAAATCACTCATTTTAGCTATGCAACGTATATTAACAACAATGTAATATATTAACATTAGTGTAATATATTAACAGCAATATAAATAAAACATATTTAAGCAATATCATTTTAAAAAACAATGAATAAAAAACTTTTTTTAAAATATGGGGAAAAAAAGTTAAAAAAAATTCATTAGTTTTATATTAAAAAAAAAAAAATTTCTATTGAAAAAAAAATTATCACTGTACATTAAAAGGAAAAAAAACGACAATTTTTTACTGTATTATTACCCTATAACAAATTTCCTTTCTTCCACATTTTTGTCTTTCTTAAACTGCATAGTCCCATAATCTCCAGAGAGGAAAAAGATTTCTTCATTTTATTTCCCAACACAAAAGAGTTTGCAATAGTATTCTAGTTTCGCAGGAATTTTAATGAAGAGAATTTTAATGCAAGAAAAGTATTACTGAATTGATGATATTTCAACTTTTTCACGATAAATTTACGTCTAAAAAAGCGTGGATGAAATGGATGGTAAAATAATTTAAATTAAGAGAAAAATTCCAGCTTTTCTTCGGAATTCCCTGATTTTTCCAGGTTTTAATCCAAATTTCCCTGACTTTTCCAGATTTTTTCCAGTATAAAGAAATTCCCTGATAATTCCAGGTTTTCAAGGTGGGTGGTCACCCTGGTTTGAGTCCCATTAGAGCCAGATTAACCGTGGGAGGTTTTAGTGGTTTTCTTCTCCGTGTAACGCAAGTGCGTTTTAGTTTTATCAAAAAAGTCCTCCATGGAGGCAAGTTTTATATGGTATTCTAGCTTAGCGGGGCAATAATGGAGAGCATTTTAATGATGTATTGCTAAGGTGATATTTCAGCTGTTTGACGATAAATGTCCATCTGAATAAAGTGGATATAACGGATGGTAAAATAATTTAAATTAAAAAAAAATGTAGATTTTCTTAAAAAATCCCTGATTTTCCCAGTATAAAAAATTCCCTGATAATTCCAGGATGTCAAGGTGGGTGGCCACCTTGCTTTTATAAATTAATTTTTTAAAAATAGATAACGTTGCAAACATTAAACAACAACCAAAATTTATAAGCACAGGCAGTTTTACCCATTAATAAGCTGAATATTTATCTCGTATCTATTAGGAAAAGTTTTAGAAAATTCAGTGACCCAGTGAAATGAAATCATTGAACAAATGAAAATCTGCCATAAACAAACTAAAACCAAAAAGACATACATACCATAGAAGGAGCTTGATTAGAACTTGCTTGAGTTAAACCAAACGGATCAAAAGGATCTTTTTCTAAAAACAAGAAATAACTATTAATACATTTATTAAAATAATTAGAATAAAATAATTTTTATCCATCTAAGTAATAGCTATGGCTCTTTCTAAGCTTAAACCCTTTAGCTAACATCAATTTCTGTTCCGGTTCCAATCTGTTTGCTTTCCTGTACAGAAAGCCTATTTTCCCACAATAGAGATACTGCGTTTGGCAGGGAAATATTTGCACAACTTCGAAAATCGGTTAAAAGGTTGAACAGGTTGCATTGTTGCAACAAAAACTGTTGTTGTAACAAATGTTATTTGCCAATGCCGGCAATCCTGCCATGAGAATCCAAGCTAATTTAAAGCAGAGAGTGCATTTATTGTTTTTTCTGTGTCGCCATCTATGCTCAAGAGTACAACTTCAGCCATACACACGTCACAGCCCGTTTTACAGAGAGGATCCAGTCTCACTCCATTCATTCTTCCACGCATCATATCATAATTTTGAGCTTAACCAGAGAAAGATCAATGTCCAATTCAGTACTCCCAGAGGTATTGATTTGTTACGAGAACTTGAAGGACTTTGTGACCCCAACAAATTTAAAGTGTCCTAGTCACAATTTATTACACGGGGATTCTTTGGCCAGCAGGATTCGAACTCATGAACATCAGGCCAGCAAACCTACCAACCAGGCTATTCCGACCCATGCAACAAAAACTAACTTATCTCAATGTTATTTAATTGGTAACAATTTAGTAGCAGGAAAAGGCTTGCTCAATTTTGCCTACAGTTAGAACGTGGAAAGCTGGAGTTTTCAAAAATGAAAAGCATAAAATAAATAAGTAGATTCAGATCTGTCAAAATGCAGTAAATTTTGATACAACTACTTACCAGGGTTTGTAGGGGCAGAAGCAATATCAAATCCCCCAAATGGATCACTTCCAGAGAATGAATCACTCTTTAAAGAAAATAATAATGCTTTATGAAATATGAATGTACATAAGTTGATACAATACATATTTAATGAACATTCACCAGGTATGAAACAGGAGCTACTGAATCGATCAAATGAAAAATTGTTCCAAACTATATGGCCCCCTTTTCACAGACATACAATACATTCTCAATCAAAAACGGTGGAAATAAATCAACTAAGTAGAAATTGGTCTCAATTATTCAGCACTATTTTCAGGGTCTAGATGGTTGTCTGAGGGTGCCTGCAAGTTTTAATTGCTCTTCCCAGAGCATTTCTGACATAGATCTTAAGTTTTTGCTCATAGATCTTAAGTTTTTGCTGGATAATCTTTTAAGTCTATATTTTCACTTTTCAGAAAATCGCAGTCTATCTGACTTCTTTGAGGTTGATAGTTCAAAATCAAATCTGGATCTAAATCAAATTTGGGTCAACTGTATCCATTAAAAGGCAAACACAGGACTAACATAATGGTTAGAAGTTTTGGCAAACCACTGGTTCTTTTCATATGAAAGAGTTTCACTTTTGAACAAAGGCGCCACTATCTATTCTCTAATGTTATCAGTGTAATGATTAAGAAATTTACTATTATGGAAGCTTAGTGTTGGTGGTCCGAGTAAGCCGTATGCTGAATAGCTGCAGACCCTCTATATCTTTTACAAACTATCACTTTGGCCAGCACAAGGTATAAAAAAGAGCCCTTGATACTCTTTGTTTGCTTTTTCAGAGGTGAGGTTTAAAATGAAATTCCCTATTTTCATTTTAAGGTAACGCATGACAACACAGAGCTCACCTGGTAGACAATTTTCTGAAAAAGTGTAGACTTTGGTCAAGTAGATTTGATAATCAGGTTTCTGGATCTGATCTCATCTCTATAAAGCATGATTGGTGCACTCTAGAAAGCAATTTCAGAGTGCGATATCTCTCCAAAAAAACCTTCAAGGGACTGAAATTAATATTGCTAGATGATCATGACCAACTGCCCCAAGAACTCTAAAACTGCCCGATTCCGACATTAACCCACTGGAGGTTTTGACACATTCTTTTTAACATTTTTTTACTGCTTCAAAAAGTTTAAACTTTTCTTCAAATAACTGTGACTCTGTCCAATTCCCTTGGCCCTCCACTCAAAAAACTATTGCATGAAAGGTAAATTTTTTCATGAAAGGTCAATACATTTGCTGAGTCAAATAGCTGTTTTTCCATAATTTATTCCCATCAGAAACATTATTCATAGTATTTAATAATTTGTAAATTCTGATCGAAATGCATATTTGATCAATTGTATTAAGAGTTTCTAAATATATGCAATATTATCAAAATAAAACATTTAATTCACTTTCTATAAGTTGTCTTGTTTTAGAAAAACGATAAGGATAAAAAACATTTAATAATATTAATTTTATTCAAATGCTTAATATTTTACTAATTAATATTTTATTTGTCAAAGTTTCTGCAATCAGAAACAAAAGCTAAAACCCACAGAAATTTCAGAAAATAAATAGCAGTTAGAATTTCGATCTGAAATGGGAATCTTCTTCTAAAATATGCATTGCATAGCAACCAATTCTTAATACCTGTCTGTTAAGAATTTGAAATAATCAAAATAAAAGAAATTGTTTAAAATATTCAAATCAAAATTCTCACTTTTTTTTTTATTGTGATGCGGTTACATTAAAAGCACTTCCTGAAGGGTCTTCACTGAAAGGAAGACTAGCTGCAACATTGGTATCAACAAAAGGATTTACAAAATAAGAGATTATTCTAGACACTATATATTCCTGAATAGCATTAATTATCAATCAAAAATTTATCATCATTAAAAAATTATTAAGTGAAACAAACTATAAAGTTGAAACATACATAAATTCAGTTTCATTAAATGAAATAAAAAGCAAACTTCACAAAATAATAATTAAGACCTTAATTATGCAAAAACTATTTATAGTACGAAATATCATTTAAAGAGTGTAACAAAATCATTAGAGTTAAAAGCAAAGAGCAACATTTTTAACTTAAAGAAAGAAATAATTTATAACTAAAACTTTATTACTCTGAAAAAAAAACTAATCAAATAGAAATTGCCATTATCAATGAGACGTTTAGACACCAGCAATTCTAAGATAAATACAGGAACTTATTTAAAGGATCATTAAAAATTTAATTATGAGTTAAAATAAAATTCTCCAAAACAATATTAAGACAAAATAAAATTTTCATATAAAATAATAAGACATAATAGAAGCCTTTAAAAATATATATATTAAAATTATAGTGTTGTCTCCAAGCCATAATAAAAATGTCAGCAATAGAATTGTTAATATCAATAGCTATTAACAACCTATTCACATACTGCAGGTTCACATCCATTGTTAAGTTATTTTAAGGTGGAAAAAAAATCATACACTTTTTTAAAATTTACAAATATGCCATATAACATGTGCTTTTAGGTATGCATATATTTACTCTGACGATTGGCTGAAAAATGTTTTGCTTTTTAGTTTGAAATTTCAATTTAAAAAAGAGAACAGAAAGAAAAAGATTGACTATGGAATTTTATGTATGTATATATATATATATATTATTCCATAGTCAATCTTTTTTTTTCAAAAAAAGTATGAGTAAAACAGGTATGAGTAAACAATTCGTTATTTTGTATCAAATTGAAACATTTTATTATTTTTATGAATATTTTTTTTAATTTGCCAAATTATTAACTCCCTGAGAGACTATTGTTTGTTGATACATTATAACAATACTACTATATATTATATAATTGAATTAAAAATATGTTAAGTAAAGCTTCAAATTGAACAATCTATATTAATTAGTTTTGAAAAATATACTCGCATAATTTTCTTTCACTAATTGTAAACAACTACAATTTAATTAATTTCATTAAATTTGGTTTCAACCGCCCAAATCAAATTGAATCTGAATTTATATAACAATCAAACAAACAAACCAAATAAACCAAACTAACATAACTGCATGTTTAGAGAGATATCAAAAACTATTATTATTATTTCAAAATAATTTTCCAATTTGATTTCCACATATTTGCACGTTGAGTAATAATTAATTCTATAAGTATGCTAGAGTTGACATAATTCTCTTAATGCCTCATAGAGTACGGGGCCACATGTTTAGAACACTAACCTGGTGCATATTTTGAGAATAATAAGAAAGTTTTGAAAATTTCTCTTGAAAGAATTAGATGGGAAAATATGATTACCTGAAAATCATTGACAGGTGTTGCTACAGCTGGTTCAACGTCATCAAAGGTTTTTGGAACCTTAAAAATATTTCAAGCATTATTAAAAATTATTTAGCTAGCTAAATAACAAATACAGTTTCATACAGTCTAATATAGAATCAAAGTACTAATATAAAAATAATTGCAAATACTTTTAGACAAACCATACAGATTTTAATATTCGTAGTGTGAAGAAACTAAACCTATAAAAAAAAAATTGTATCGAAATTTCTAACAAATGAAGTTACCACAAAGTTGCATAAATTCGATAACTTGGAAAGTATAAATTCGATTTAATGTATTCTATGAAGAAAAAAAAATGTAAAAGTAATAAATTTAGACTTGTATAATCTAATTAATTTAACATCTGCCAATTCAATAACAAAAACAACAATAATAAAATTTAATAAATATCATTGTGTGAACAAATATTTTCTGAGAAATATAAACTATTCTTTTTTAGAAGAGGGATTAAATGATGTATGAACTGAAAGCTAACTTTTTGAAACAAAACGCATTTTTTATACCTCTGATGCAGTCAGGTACTTTTTGCACATTTGTGGAATAGTAAAGTGATTATATTGAATACTTCATAGTTCATTCACTATTTTCTTCAAGTTGATTACAGTAAACACTTGAAAACTACCTTTTGAATATGAAAAAAAGATTGAACATTGAATAAAGCTGAAAAGCCCGAATTTTGAAAGTTAATTGGTATGTATGTTAATAAGTATGGAATTTTTTTCTCTGCACTTGCACTTAGTGTATATTTTTAATCATGCTCCGCAAGAAAATTTTCCCCTTACTTATGAAAGTAACACAAAGCATTGAATGTATGAAATATGATACAATGCATTCAGTAAAGGAGAAAGTAAAAAGTTAAAAATTTTTTTTTAAAATAAAATAAAAGCCCATGTAGGCGATAATACCAACTATTTTTTCATGAATTGCAATATAAAGCTTAATGGCAGAAGAATTAGAATCGGTCATATTGCACCAAACACAAATGTAACAACCATCAAAACTAAATATGACTAGGTCTAAGTTATGAGACCAGTACTTATTAAACAGGACGCTTTAAGGTGTTGTCTTTTAAAGAAACACACAAGAGTAGAATACTTAAAATACCATATATCAAAATGTATATATCAAATTTTTGAACCCCTAAAATTTTACAGAAATTAGGCGCTCAATTATTCTCCAGCAGTGAAGATGGACATTAATTGATCGATGTGATAGATATGAATAACTCTGTATGGATTTACCCCTTTCAAAAATTTTTTTAATATGTTATATACAATCAATTTTCCTTTTCGTTCATAATATTTTTTTTTACATATGAAGGTTTTCCTTTAAAAAACAATACTTATTGTCAGAAAAAAAACATGACAAATATAAAAAATCACAATATTTCTTCCCAGAATATTTAAAAAAATAAGAAATTTGCCTTTAACATTTAGATGTTTGATAATTATATTTAAAAATTATATGGTTTAAAATTAGAACAGAAATGTAAGCATTGTATTTAATATATGAAATTAGTTGAAATTAGAATTTTTTTTTATGTATGTAAACAAATTACAATAATTAAATCTTACATGGACCTTTATAATGTGAATAAAAGATAAACACAATAAATGTTTCTAAGTGATAAATTATCTAATCAAAACTAAATGCATACTTACAGTAGGTGAAATATAGACCATTCGGTGTAGAAAAACCATTCAAAGTAAAGTCTGACATACTTCGGAAATCACCAAAAGAAACCGCATTATCCATATGCTTGATAGCTTTACTCATTAACCTATGTTGCTCTTGTATTTGGTCAATTTTCATTTTAATCTAGAAGAAAATAAAACAAACAAGGAAAGTTAAGTAACTGTCTTCAACAAAAAAATATACAGTCAAATTAAGTATTTTAAGCTATCAAGTTTATCACTATGTTGATTTTCAAAAACTTACTAATGCAGCAAATAATATAATTGAAAAGTGTAGCCAAGGGATATGATAATTGCAATTTTAGTGAATTATCTCTTTAACAGACAGACAAAAAATAAATTGCTTATCCATATCCTTGATAGCTTCACTCATGTGCTGTATTGTATTTGATCAATTTTAATTTTAATCTAGACAAAAATACACACAGGGCAACTTTAATTGTTTTCAACAAAAAATCTACAAAGACGAATTAAATTGTAAATATTTTAAGCTGTAAAGTTTTTTCAACAAGTAGCTCAAAGCTCAATTTTCAAAAACATAATAATGCAGCAGAGGATATAATTGAAAAGCATAACGCAGGAATATGATAAGTACAATTTTCGTGAATTATCACTTTAGCAAATATACAAAAAATTAAATTGCTTACATAAGCTTTATATTTATTTTGAAGAAAATTAAATAGAAAAAGGATAAAATAAGGCTGTGTTTATATCGTTTTTTTTCCTCCACAAAAAACAAATCATAAAATAAGCTTTAAATTTACTTAAAAAATAAATAAATAAGTAGGGACAAGTAATAAAGATTTATTGTGTTTTTTACAGTGGATAAATTTCAGTGCTTCAAACTCAATCTTCGAACCAAATAAACAGAATGAAATGGAGAAAATATATGTGTTAGATTAAGCGAGAATGATGCATTTGTGTTTTCATGCATTGTTTTTAATTTACTATTGTTATCACATTAAAGTGGATTATTTGTCTTTTATAATTTCAAGTGTTTTTAAAAATAATCTAAAATTTAATAAACAATATTAAGCAATATAAAATTATTTACTTGGCTTATCTGAAGGGTGCTACCTTGTAAAGAAGAAGTCAATGCATCAAATTGAGTTTTGCTTAAATTTAGCTTGCTTTCCATCTGGGACTTTTTTTTCCTTAACTCATTCAATTCCACCCGCTTTTCATTCAGTTCCTTTTCTTGTATCTAAATAAGTATAAATTTAATTGTTCAAACATTTATATACTCTAAATTTAGTATCAATATCTTAAAATAATTTCATTTAATTAATCTTAACAAATTAAAAGACTAAATATTTGACAAAATCAATTTAAATTTTTAACAACAAACCTTTAATTCCATTTCTTGTTCTTCTTCCTGCTTTTTCATAGCATCAATCTGTTAAGGAAAAAAAAAAACATACATGATTAAAAAATAGGATAGAACTGTGTTTTCAACAAAAAAAGTTGTATGTTTTAAAAATACCAATTCAGTTTATGGCATATAGTGCAAAGAATAAAATTTATCGAAACATATTTTTAAAAAAATAAGTTTTTTTTGTTAAATTATTTTGAAATAAGGAGAAACAGAACTTGAACTTTTTGATAGTGTGGTAAAAACAGGGTGACCACTCAAATCAGGTTTCAAATTTCCCTGGTTCTTCCAGGTTTTCCAGTAAGAATCTTAAAACCTCCAGGTCAGCGTGTTTTCTTTTCTCATAACGCGCAGGTGTGTACAAGAAAAGTTTAAATATTATAAAGTATTTTATTTAAAATGTTATTTTTTTAATCTATCATCTTGAATAGATGTGAAAAAATAATATGTTTAGCTTGTAGAATATATTACTATAAAAAATGTTTTAAAGTGTTAGTTTTGTAGTTTTTGCACAAAATGTACCAAATACCAAATACAGTGACCCCAAAAAAGGTAAATTGCCTTCTATTTCCTGTTGGAGTGGATGGATCAATGTGTATTATACAATTTTCCATCTTGTAAAAGTTAGTTGAAAAATCACTAATTTTAATCGTGCAAGAACCACGTTATTTTGAAAAGAATTAGAAATTGCAATTTTTATTTACATTAAAGTTCAAATTCAAATTTCTTTATTTTCTCAATATGGCTTAAAAGGAATATATAAAAACTAAAACGTTCTAGATACTTCAATTGTTTTAAATATTTTGGAATACTGTCTTTTTTTCTCTTTCCAAAATGGACTAAGATCAATTTCTGAATTCGAACAAATCTTTTTTTGAAGAACAACCTCTTGTGCTCTTTTTGTTAAAAATTTATAGTCTTATATTTAGGAACAATTATCCACGAAATTAATTAGTAACATTTATGTGTGATAATTAGTTAATAACGCTTTACTGTATGAAAAACTTCGTATCGAAACTAGTAAACAATTTGAAAAAAAGAACTTGAATACTTTTTTTTAAAGGGAGTTGAAATTTTTTACTTTGATAAGTGGGTGGTAGGGAACCTAAGATCAGAATTACTAAGATCTGAGCTATTAAGTATTTTTTTTCTTCTTATCTTGGCTTTTACACATTACCAACTTTTTACTCTCACAAAGTAGGGGAGAGTGGGGTCAATTGTAGCATTTTTTACATAACTATTTATAACTAACAAAAAATCCAATATATTATTAGTATTAATTGACAGACGAGTAAAGTAGACTATCCTCTACTAGAAAAAAATAAGTACCCTATTTTAAATGTTATTATATTAGTTATTAACAATTTTTGACCATCGTGCACTTGTTACAATTGTCCCCACTTACGGGGTCAATTGTAACAGTTCATAAATTCAACTAAAACATAGTTAATTATACATATTATCATAGTTGTGATATATTTTTTTATTGATCAAAATAGTAGTGATATTTTAGGAGTAAAAATAATAA